TCTCTCTCTCTCTCTCTGCCTCGCTCCATCACGCTCTCGGTTCCGTCTCCGTCTTCGTCACTCGTCGTCGCGTTGGTGGGAGTGAGCTAAGCCCATTTTAGCCGATCTATAATTCAGGACGAGAATCGAATAATTTGACATATAACAAGTCCATCTCGTGCCGCGGGGGGATATAAGTTTCCGTTTTGGGTGACCTATATTCCAGTGCCATGCGGAATATAGGCGAGTTAACTCCACATTTTACGGTTCGTTGAGTATAAATAGGCCAACGATGCACGATAAATTTGTTTCGGATTTATAATTCGCGAGAATCTCCGGGGCTGAATTCTATATCTATAATTAGACATGTAGGAAAATTGTGATATTCGATTGATTCTTTGAACGTTAATATTTGCGTAATATTCTATTTCTGTTCTGTTAAGTCACGGCAAATTAAATTTTTTCGCGCGCACATCGATCGGTCTCCTTCGATTATCGATATTTTTTTTTTAAATATCCGATCGGCGGTATGTATGTAATCAACAAGTGGAAAAGATAAAGAAACAAAATGTTATAAATTTATGGCTCATATTATCAAATTACGTCGAGTAAATGTAGAACATTTGATAATTAATAAATATAAAAATTAGAAGATATTATATACGTAAAATTAAAAATGTATTTAAACATTGATTGAAAAATGTGCATTCATTTGCATTTTCGCGCTCTCGTCAACTTGAACAAACGTGAATTTCACGCGTTATGATTTCTTATATGAATTTACTGCGTATATTGAAGCTTTCTTCGCTTTTAATAATTTTCGCCTTTGTTTCAAAATATACAATTGAGCCCCTTGCCACAATTCGCAAGCGTTTGAATCGTACCGCGGCGCGAGGTTAGGTTAGTTTCGGCTTAGGTTAGGTTAGATCGGACAATTCAGCAGCTGATCGAGCAGCGCACGTCGCCATCGATGGCCGGCGGCGAGGCCGCGTCGTGTTGACGTGGTCGTTGTTGTCATTCCGAGACGCAGTTCTCGGACGGTTGTCGAAGGTGCAGGAGCGGGATACTTCAGCCTCCGGGTGTGCAGCGGCAGCTTTCATCATCCTGGCGGAATGGACGTCGGGGAGATAATTGATTTCGCGGATCTTGGTAAACACTCGCTTTTGGAGCATCCGTCAAATTTCGCATTATCGCTTGATATTCATCTCGATCGTTCGCCTTGCGATATCGATTCGATATTGAAGATCTTTCAACAAGATCGTGAATGCCACTTTATTTTCTATCGCTTCCATATGCTACATTGTGTGTGCGCGCGCGTGTGTATCGTAAAATAATATCGTGGGAAAATATTTGACAACTCTTTAAAATTATACGTTTTTTCGCTATCTAATGTAATAACTCCAGTAAAGATCTAAAAATCATCTTTGTATCTTGAGGAATAATCATTCGGGTAATCCCTCATGATAACTCTGATAAATTTCTGATGATAAATTTGATAAGGTCTTGATAATGAGATTTAATTTTTTATTTTCTTAAATCGTGTCAATTAAATGATAAACCCGATTTACGATCATAATCTCACCGTGATGTATTTAATGACAATTTAATACGTGACTCTTTTTATCACATTATTGCTTAATGTGCATTTAAAGTATCTACAAATATGAAGAACACGGAAATTTACTGAAATTTTTTTTTTAAATATCAAGAATGTTATTATAAGTATATGTCTTTGATATTGGGTGTGTCGCAATTATTTTTATGACTATATTTGTTACCATTATAACCATAATTGAAGTTATAATAACGAGATTATAATAACGCAATTTTTAATTAAAAATAATATTAAAAATAATATATTTAATATCTATTATATTTAAATATAAATAAAGCATAATTTGCAAAAAATGAAAAGAGCAAAATGATCAGTTTTAAATTTTGCAGTTAGTAATTGTTAAATTTAATCGACCGATCAAGCTAATCGGTGATAATGAGTCCGGTTCTATAAATTTTTATAACACAATGCAGTTTCAAAAAATTGAAGATGACGAAGTAAGCCATATCATTGGCGCGATCAAATGGCGCTTCACAATTTCGCGCGCAATGGTGGCCAATCGGATTAGGTAGGAGCCACGTAGCGCGGGATAATTAATTGTAATAATAACAATTGTAACAATTGCAATTGTAAAATAAAATCTGAAATTTGTGTCACTCTTCAAAGATGAAGCAATGAAACTAAAAGTTGTTACATACCCTTCTAGATTTTCACATTTTCACGTGGTTTAATTTTTGTGATGTGTGTGTGTATGTGTGTGTGTGTGTGTGTGTGTGTGTGTGTGTGTGTGTGTGTGTGTGTGTGTGTGTGTGTGTGTGTGTGTGATTTCCAACTTGAATGTTTATATTTGAACCACTTTTAATTACGCGACATTCATGCGTATATGTTTCTCCATTCCGATTCGTCCGAGAGCTCATTTCTTGAAATATAATAATGTTCTTTTCTTTCAGACGTGGAAATTCAAGAGCTGATAAGAGAGAGCGTGTCGGTACGCGAGAATTCGTATGCGCCGTACAGCAAATTCAAGGTCGGCGTCGCGGTGCGATGTGCCGACGGTAGCATTTCGCGAGGTTGCAACGTGGAGAACGCGGCCTTCCCAGCGGGCGTCTGCGCCGAGGTCACGGCGATCGCAGGGGCCGTGTCGGAAGGGAAGCGAAAGTTCACGGCGTTAGCCGTGGCCGCCGACCAGGAGAATACCCCGTTCACGACGCCATGCGGGATGTGCAGGCAGTTCATCTCCGAATTCAGTGACGATATGTTTATCTACCTGTCGAAAACCGAAATGAAGAAAGTCCTACGGATTAAAGCGAATAAATTGTTTCCGCTTTCACCATTTCGTACAGAGGCCTCATAATCCGTCCTCGTCATGCTGGAGACAACATTCAAATAATAGGAGGCTATAGCAAAATGTATTGAACTTTCTTAAGCCTATGTACTTAATTAAAATATTCATTCAGAATTGGATACATTGTAAATTTTGTTTTTTAAAATTTTATTTCACGAACTGGCAATGCAGAATATTTACAATGATGTGATACATATTGATATCGATTAGTTAATGTTTAAAGGATGTCTAATATCGAAACGAAAGTATTCTCTTGCTTTAATCATCTTTTTTCAAAAAGAAAATAAATGTTGCGTTCAGTGAACATAACGGTTGAGAACGGTACAAAGTTGAATAATTCGTCTACTCATTTAATGTAATTGGTTTAAATTTTTAGGTATTTAAAGTCAATAAAGATCAATATTTACTAATCGTTTTGTTCCATTGAACGCTAATGATTTTATATACGGAACTTTATCATTGATTCTATCATTACTCAAATGTTTATATAATATGCATGATACATCAGAATATATTTTGTGTTGTGTAATTGTTACTGCATTATATAATACTAACGGATTATATATGTGTATATATATATATATATATATATATGTATAGCATACATATACAGCATACATACATATATACGTACATATAGTTTGCATATATATATATATACAGTATATGAGATTATCGTAAACGCAGTTAATAATTTCGTAAATTTATAAATGCAAAAACAGATAATTGCACACTTACAAAACTTCATCTCTTTAATGAGAAGATTTGTCTGTCTTGTTTACCAAAATGGACACCTGTAATAATATGCGTCAATGAAATCTACGTCCGCATTTTTTATATAATTTATATACAATTGTCTCTTGTATAATCAAAATAAACTTTAAGCAAGTTGTTTATATATATATAATATAAAAAATGTATGTTGTAAATGAAAATAAAAAAATAATGTTCCAAAGATTTTCTTAATATAAAAATAAATCATTACATACCATCCAATATAACATTGACAAAGATTTTCATTATTCGTAGCCTGCTGAATCAACAGATTAACTTGTTGCCGAACGCTGAGAGTTTCCTCATGCGAAAAGTCACGCCCCGTTAATTTATCTCTGACTCTCGTTATAATTGCCAAGGCTTTCTTATTCAATGCTTCTGGTTGATTATTATCAGCTGTAAATATTTGAGGACAAAAATTACACCAAATTGTATGTATTATACCAAAAAATTATAAATAATAATTTTTATATACATATATATCACACTTCTTTGATATTAAGTTTGATCAATTTAAAATATAAAAATTGATTAAGTTTTATGAATATATTTCTATGCTATTAATGATATGATTTGACATTATGCCATATATTAAGTTTTAGCACAAGCAGTAATGTTGTCACTTATATATGATGATTTTGAAGTTGAAAATGATTGAAAAGAATGTATTTACCTTTACCTCCATTTTCGATGCTGCATGGCACACCTTTCTTTGGTAACGTGGCGGTAAGAGAATCAAGCATATCGCCGTGTTCCTGACTGCTGCTGGCACTCATACCCTGAGCGTCCGATCGTTTGCCTTTAGGCACCGCATTGTCCATCAATCTCCAATTGAGGAGAGGGTCATAGACGAATGCTTCCAAAACCGCCATTAAACTATCCTTATTCCGATGTAGTACAGACATCACGGATTCGCAAGTCCTTCTGTATGTTCCCTCAATACCGGTTACCTCCATCGCATTGATCAACATTCGTGTCAAACGGAAAGGTATTTTTTCGGGGAACTTCTCGCGCGTCATCGCCACCTCGAAGCAATCTCCGAAGTCGATATGCAGTATTTTACCGCTAAGACGATCCAACATCAAATTAGATGGATGACGATCGCCAAGACCGAGTATGTATCCCACCATTGACATCACAGCCAGAGATCGCGTGTAATTCGTTCTGCGATCGAACCACACTTCGCTCGACGGTGATTTTAACCACAAGAGTCGCGCTAAGTCATCTCCATGAGTATGTTCGAGTGCGTGCTCGAACACTTCGACTTTTTGCATAAGCATTAGATGATCGTAGTCAGGTGCCATCTAA